AACAAACACTCAGGGTCAAGGCGCCTACACTTTGTCAATAACATACCGTCACAAACAGCTGGTGATTGTGCAAAGATAAAGCGGCATCAGCGAGAGAGCTTCCTTGCGGCTTGCACTGCCCCGGATTATAATCAGACATTATCCTGCGGATAACTCAGTGTCATGCACACTTCAAACAGGCAGTCTCATTAGGAGACGGCAACAGGCGCGCCACTGGTGCTGACTGCGACGCATATCCTGTAATGTCTCGAGACAAGCACAAGGCGAATCACGTGGATTCCAACCTGGAAGGTGAGAAGTACTGACAGAACCGAGTTGGGTCGTCAGTGACTTCATTTCCCGCTTCCAAGTCAACTTTTGTCCACCTCGAGCCTTGCGCCACTCTAGATCTGACAAAGCGGACCATAAGGATCACAAGCCTGCCTTGCAATCCGAAGGCGCTGGTTCGAGCCTGGGTCCCGGAACACTTCCGTCCAGCCATTTGTTGGAATGAGATAAACCCGAACCAACAAGCTGGCACCAAGAGGAACTTATTCGGCAGGCCAGCGTAACTATTGAATGGGTAAATAAGGAGGTCTTCAGTGAGAGTTCAAAAGGACGATACATGCCCATCCGCATGAGTGACTACATCTGTTTCTTCGCACAGTCAGGTCAAGGACCTCCTCTTGTGTCTTTAACAAGCCGTGTGCAGTAGTGGAGTGCATTACACACAAATCAGTTGAACAGCAGGTATGCAGAGACATAATCAACGGATTAAGTCCAGGTTCAAATAAAGGCCGAGGGGACCGCAAGGAATAATGGATTTAAGAGTGGGTCTGCGAGTTAGACTGTACAGAGATTCAGTGAATCACGGGTACGGCTGATCAACGGTAAAGCAAATTTTCCCGTTTCATTGAACCAATCAAGACCAAATGAGTGTTGGGTCTAAACTCACATGCATTGTATTACAACGTGCTCTTCAGCTACTGTTTCTGCTAGTCACTTTCACGCGACTTCATCACAAGCCAACTGTTTGTTTACTAACAATCCTCACTTTCCGTTAACCGATTCATTTGTTCAACAATCTGGCTGCGATTCCGGTTGCGCCGCAGATCAAGGAGTTCGACCTATGGCCCTCCTTCATCCCCGATCCTCGTTCCATCTAGCGTGCTTCAACGTTTGGACACTCATGCAGAATGGACAGCAAGCCGGTCTAGCGCGCACTCTAGATTACCTAGAGATTGATGTCGTTTGCCTTTCAGAAACCCGATTGCAAAATCCCAGCACTGTGCTTACATTGACATCCCCCAATGACCACGAAGCCAGATATCACCTGCGTCTTTCTGGAGATTCAGAAGCAGCCTCAGCGGTTTTGGTTGGTGTAGATCTAGCACTAAGGGGCAAGGGCGAGGCGGCACTACTGGACTGGTTCCCTATCAACAGCCGATTATGTGCAGTTCCGCTTCGGGGTTTATGTAGAATCAACAGGCACAGCGAAGAGAGACACAACTTGTTTGTGATCTCCGTATACGCTCCAACCGACTGCAGTGGCGACTCGGTCAAGGACGAATTCTACCGGGATCTACAACAGCTCTTGACTAATGCTAAAAAGTCGGATGCCGTTATCCTTGCTGGGGATTTTAATGCACGGGTTGGTCGCCTGTTACCATAAGAACGCCACCTTAGTGGTCATCACGCGCTCAATGAGAACCGCTCTGACAACGGAGAGAGGCTTCTCAAATTGTGCGAAGACAATCGTCTGTTTCTTTCGAGCACTAACTTCAGGTGTACGAAGAAGCGTTCCGCAACGTGGCGTCCCCCTTCTTCAACACGACCGTAATCGCAAATTGATCACATTTCAATTAGCTTCAGATGGTGTGCCAGCGTACTGGACTGCAGGTCCTTTTGGTCCACCTTCGTTGACTCAGATCATGTTCTGGTCTGCGCGAAAATCTGTATGTGTTTTGGAGGATCCCGAAACACGAAGCACCGCAAGATTGATGTAAACAGACTAGCTGATTCCTCTGTCCAGGCGAACTATCAGTCTTCACTGGCATATGCACTCAGTTGCAATCCACCCCAAGAACTGGAACAACACTGGACTTGTAAACGGAAAGTGGTGACCATTTCCAGACAGTCATGCTGCGGTCTAACTCGACGCCCCTTGATGGCTTGGATCTCTGCTCGTTCTCTGGAGCTGTTCGAACGCCGCAAAGATAACCCAGCGGAATCAGGTTACAACGAGCTGCGCCGTTCTGCCAACCGGCTGCTCAAGAAAAGCCTACGCAAGGATCGCGAGACATGGTGGTCTGAGCGTGCTTTAGAGATGCAGACCACTGCCCTCTCTGTCAACACTCGCAAGCTTTTCCAACTAATTCGGTCCACCGGCCTCACGAAGCCTGTTGTCAGTGAGATCATTTGTGAGGTGGATGAGTATCCGATCACCAATCAATAGAGACGAATGGACCGTTGGGCCGAGCACTTTCACTCTCAGTTCAACTGGCCTCCACCATTAGTCAGTACATGCAGTACACCTTGTTGTCCACCCTTGCTCGTTCTAATGAATCCACTCAGCGAAGCGGAAGTCTGCCTCGAGATTCGACGCTTGAAGCGCTTCAAGGCTACCGGCTTAGACGGACTTCCTCCGGAACTATTCAAGTACGGCGGGGTAGCGATCATTAACCAGCTAACCGCGCTGTTCGCAAAAATTTGGCATGAAGAGAAAGTGCCTTCCTCTTGGAGCGAAGCAGTTATTGTCCCGATTTGCAAGAAAGGCGCTAGCATTTCATGTGAAAATCATTGCGGGATTAGTCTTATTTCGGCTGCCTCCAAGCTATTGTTAACCATACTGCTTCGCAGACTATCCCAGCACGTGAATCATACTACCGTGAAGAACAAGTGGGTTTCCGTCTTGGCCGCAGATGCGTGGATCAAAGCTTCACGCTCCGCCAGCTCGTCGAACATCGCCACATTTATCACAGGCCCACTATCGTTGCATTCCTAGACATACGTGCCGCTTTTGACTCCGTTGATCGACCTGCTTTATGGCGTTGCTTGCTAAAGAACGGGGTGCCAGAGAAATATACCACCATCTTACGAGCCCTTTACCTTCATAGATCCGGCAGAGTGAGGGTCTATGGCAAGCTCGCCTCGCAATGCGCTGTCAATAACGGTGTGCGACAGGGCTGCCCTATGTCCCCATTCCTCTTCAACTTCGCAATCGAAGACGTTCAGCCGAATGCCCTAGAAGGTTTCCAACATTTTGGCCTAGAGCTTCTACCGGGTGAGCGCGCGACAGACTTAGAGTATGCTAATGATATCGCCTTACTTGGTGACGATCCTCAATGTATACAACTCATTCTAGATCGTTTGGCAGTTGAAGCATCTAAGTATGGCATGAGCTTCGTCCCATCGAAGTGTAAAGAACTGCTCAAGGATTGGCTTTCACCTGCTCCTGTGCTCACTCTTGAAGGTGCACAACTTGAACAGGTAGATAGTTTCGTCTACCTTGGGAGCTGTGTTTCTGCTGACGGCACTATCAGCAAAGAAGTTTCTCTTCGTATCGCTAAAGCTCGATCAGCATTTGTCAATCTGAGGCACTTGTGGCATTGACGCGACGTCTCATTGTCGCAAAAGGGCCGCGTTTACAGCGCATCAGTTTGTTCCATACTGTTGTATGGGTGCGAGTACTGGCCGATTCGCGTGGAAGACATGCGTCGTATTTCTGCGTTTGATAACGGTTGCTTAAGGAGGATCGCTCGTGTTTGGTGACAACATCGAGTTAATAGTAATGACGTTCGACGTCGCATCTTGGGGAATACGAGTATTCCCTTCAACAAACTGGTTTTGTTGCGCCAGTTAAGATGCTTCGGTCACGTCCTACGCATGGCACCTGAGTGTTTACCGCGTCGCGCTCTATTCGCTCGTCAAGGACCTGGCTGGAGGCGACCGCGTGGTGATCAGCCTTCCACTTGGCGGCAGCACACGAAATCGCAGACGTCCAGTCTAGCCGTTGTTGGATCCGTACGTCTTCCAGGATGGGGACGCAAAGATGAAGAGTGTCAATGGCTTAGCACCCTTGAAGACATGGCCCGCAACCGGAATCAGTGAAAGAATTAAGTACAGCATTGTGCTGATTCAGATGGTTAATACTACAAATATTGAAAATGAAAAAAGAGAAAAATCAACGTATGAAAAACAAACTAAAAATGTTTTGTTCCACTTTTTGTCAAAATGTTCTATTCTTCCTGCAGCATATTAACTGAAGTGCGTTGCTCAACTTCAACTACTATGAGGCGATGATTATGACGCGATGACGATGCAGAGGAATGAAGGCCCTCACTTCTGAGCTGGCCTCGGTTGGAGCGTCTCGGCTCCCTGGTTGGGGTCCAAAAGACGATGAACACGTTTGGTTGGACACCCTTGCTGATATGGCTAGGAGCCGACCTCAGTGGCGTTCGTGCTGTGAGTTTCTTTGTCCCACCCCATCCTTCTCAGCCTCCCCCTCCATCACGATCTCACTATTTAATTTTATATAATTCAGCATAATTTTTTTGATGCATAGTAGCCGGCTGGTAGCTTACCGGAACGATGCCCATCCCTTACCGGTAGCTCAGCCGACTTGCACGAGTTGCTTTTTTTCTTTTTACTATGTATTGCGGCACAGTAGCTGAGGTGTTCCCCACCTTCAGCAAACGTGTATGATGATGATGATGACCAGCATACTGGGAGTATTCCAATCCCATGAGTAAGGATATTGGAGAATGAACAATAATACCGTCCAGGGGACTCGAGGTGTTGATGCAAAATGGTGACGTATTCATAAAACATAGCTAAGAGTTCAGAGCTGGCATTGTTAACTTTAACACACTAAACAGTTGAAGACAGGAGGATCATGTACGAATGACCTTCGATTAGGGTAAATCACTGCCACGCATAGTTTAATAAGCTCACCCTAATACCTTCAGCGACGTCATGGTATGTATCTGCCAGAGTGTGAGGTTCGGCGCGGTACTGAGCGATCAAATGGTTTTGTCTAGCCCTTTTGATAATCTAAAAACGTCTGAAGGTCTACAGGTGATACCTTATCATCAATATCCGTGATGTTTAGCACGTAAAGTACATCGAAGGAAAAGTAATCACGGAAAATCCTGCGCAATACGTCGAAAGCGATATAAGTCCTAATGAAATCATCGGTAAGAAGGTAATAGTTACCTGGCGTGTCCCATATGCGACCAATCGTAGACAGTCGGTCCGCATGTGTACCATTTTATCTGCTTCCCCTGCTCTGGAATAAATTTTTCCTTTATATACAATAAGTGTTGTTATACAGATGTGTACATACCTTTTGCAAAGTAAGACTATTAAATAACACTATCTCCGGTAAGATAGTCCGTTCGGTTGGTACCGGCGGCTTCCAAACCGGTTGAACACGTTTCTCCATACCGAAGTTCTCTGATAATCGTTTTGATGTAAAAGTGATGCGGTGGCAATTGAAAAGTCGGCTACAAGCAACCCCAAATATGGGTAATCTGTCGCAAATGGCAATACTCCAAGCAAGAGTGATTCCAAAATGCTGAAAGAAAACAGAGTACAGTACAAAATGGTAGCAAATGGTATGCGAGCAGTGTGTGATAATCAAACCCTTCGGTATAGAAAGGAATACATATTTTGTAACGACAAAAAACACTTTTTGGTGCGTCGCTTCACCACATCCGTGTGTATCTGGGTTAGCCGCATTCCATTAACTGGACTACAGTTGAAAAACTGAACAATACACATCAGCTTGTGCGCAACAAAATACAATGCAAGACTTGTACGAATCAATCGGTGGTTTGACAATAATAATAATAATAATAATAATAATAATAATGTGCCAGCTGTACGCCGTAACGGCGCTTCACTGTCGCGCGACCACCACCAGTCGCGCGCGGGCTGAGTATACCGCGAGGACGCCCACCCCTACGCGGTGACTTGATCCACGATAAGAATGTGTTTGTTCTTATACATGCTATTGTGAGATCAACCACGTGGGGAAAATGCAACCTGTCATAGTTACGTCGATGAATGCAACGCGAACAACTGCATGTCTTACCTGAAAATGAACAATGACCAGAATGTGTCAATTGCCCAACAAAGATTTGGTCTACAAAAACGTGCAATGTGAATTATGACGAAGAAGCGGACTGTATTGTTAGGGAAAATATAAACAGAATGCAGAGGTGCGAAGAACCGCATCTTCAAATTGAATGTTGTCATCACAAAAGATAATGAAAAAATGTGAGGGGGTGAGATTAAAAGAGTTAGTCATTGATCACTCAGTAAATTCAATTCGGAAATGGTAGAGTCACTTTAATTACGCAAATTACAGTCTTCGCAACGGCTCCAGAATCCCAAGCCCGACTTTCAAGTAATTCCGGGACAATCACGCGATTAACAACCGCTCAACTGGCAGAAGTATTGACTAGAAGATCAAAAGTGCAACGGCTGAAGAGAATGAGAGAACCACTGAGGAAGGGTCTCAAACGGAACAATAAGCGGAAACGGCGTCACAGAACAAGTTCCTCAGCAAAAAGATAAACGGCATCAGCGAAAACTAAATGTGCATTGCCTCCATTTTTGTTATAAAAGTATGGAAAAATGAGTCACTCAATGAAGATTGATCTCCAAAACACCTCCCCTTTTTTAAGACTGGTTTTTGTAGCTATGCTTTTTTGGATTCAGCTGTAGTGGCTTTACTAGATCTCGGACTCGATTTCTCCATCGATGAGGGTGAAGCTTGACACCTACCTTTTCGTCCGATAGAGTGGAACTTATAGTACTCATGGATGGAGTAGTAAGTGTCCAGCAGTATGTCTAACAGAATTGGGCAGTGACTGATATCCTGCACTGAGTTCGCTTGCTTTAGGCGTAACTGTTTGCGGTGCCGACTCCAAGTTTCATCATTTATCAATACGTCGTAGTATTCGTTCTCGGCGAGCGGTAACAAGGGCTTCAACCCATTCATTGTGCCTGCGTCTGTAATCACGAGCGTATACGGGTGATATAACTGTGAAGCCACGAAGATCTTTAGTTGAGGAAGGCAGAGGTGATTCACTCTACGGGATGAGGGCATCGTGCACGGCACACAGTCTGCAGCCCATCCAAACTTCGGCTGGAGAACGACTATCGGGCGCCGCAAAATTGGGAGTAGTTCGATACATAAGCAAGAAAGCTTGTAGTATCCCATCGGTAGTCCCCTCCCCATGCGACTTCAGGAGCACTCGCTTGAAGGTATTGACGAAGCGCTCATCTTGACTAATCGATTGAGGGAGATAAGGTGGGGACCCGTATGTGATTGATGTCCAAACGTGAACAGAAATCCGCAAATTGGACTGAAGTGAATTGGGATCCATTGTTTAACAATCACGTCCGGCAGACCGTGATGGCTGAAGACGTTTCAAAGGGCGGAAATCGTGCTAACTGAGGTCACTGGACTGAACACTACCACTTCTGGCCACTTGGACGACGACGAGGTACGACACTCTGTCGATTGGGGCAGCGAAATCTAGGTGAAGCCGTAACCATGGATCTCGAAGTAGTTGCTACGAAATTGGTTCTTGTCTGGCGGGTAGTTTGGTGGCTTGCTAACACTTAGAGCATACACGGACCAGATGCTGTATGTCTTCATCCATACCGGACCAATAGACGTAACCACGTGCTGATGCCCGGATGACCAGAGTGAAATCGACAGAGAACAGCTGGTTGAAAAGAGGCTGGTACCACCACTCGGTCGGCGAACATAAGGCAAGAATCAACAACGGACAATGATTCGCGACGACAGAAAAGCTGATGCAGTTCACCCGAGAGTTTCCCTGTAGGCCAGTGCGTCTGGGTAAAAGAAATGGCACGGTGAAGAAACGGATCGCGCGCGGTTGCGCGTTGAACGTCGGCAACGGTAACTAGAATCGAGCGGACGGCGACGAACCTCTTCCTCGATGAATGTAGCCACAATCACTACGTTATCTCCGGGTGCCCGAGGGTTGTTAAAGCGAGACAGAGCATCGGCTTGTCCGAAATCCTCAGTGTGACGGTACTGGACGGTAAAATCGCACCCTAAGAGGATTGTTGCCAAACGCTGAAGACGATTGGCAGAGCCCATAGGGATACCCTTCTTGGCTTCAAAGATCGAAAACAGTAGCTTGTGATCTGTGAGCAGCATGAAATGTCGGCCAAACATAAACATGTGGAATTTGTTGACAGCATCGATAATAGCTAAGGCCACTTCAATTTGGCTGTAATTTTTCGCAGCTGATGTGAGTGTACGCGAGGCATGAAAGATGGCCTTTTCAGAAGCATCTGGGAAAACATGGGAAATGACGGCGTCTAAGCCGTAATCAGAAGCATATGCTGCGACCACAATTGGCATCTTTGGATCGTAATGTGTCAACAAGACGTCTGAGCTGAGCAACGACTTGTGCTTCACATATGCAGCTTCACGTTCTGCGGATCAGGCCATTTTGCGTCCATTTACAGGAGACGGTTCAGTGGAGCTCGGAGATTGTTCATGGCCGGCAGGAATGCACTATAGTGTTATCAATCCAAAGAAAGACCGTAGTGTGGTGATGTCCTACGGAGCCGGCCTCTGCTGAATCGCTAGGGTGTTTTCAAGACCTGTGTGACGACGGTTAGTGTCGAAGATTAAGCTGAGGTACTTTAACGATGGAAGAAGTGGCATTTCTTGGCTCGGAGACGGAAGCCAACTTCCTGGATGCGGTTGAGAACAGCAACGATGCGATTTTAGAGCTCTTCCGTCGACCTGTCCATTATGACAATATCGTCCAAGTATGTCACTGTACCTGGTAGGCCAGGAATCGTAGTATCAGCCACTTGTTGGAAGGTTGCTGGGATAGTTTTGACATCAAATGGAAGCCTGGTGCATTGGAAAAGCATCGGTGGGTATTGATCATAAGGAGTTCATGGAATTCAGTTGCCACCTCGATTTGCAGGTAGGCTTCCGCCATGTCTAACTTAGCAAAGTAAGTGCCCCATTAAGTATGGTGAATAGATTTTCTGGGACTGGAAGCGGATAGAAATTGGGTTCTAGGGCGGAGTTGAGGCCCGTTGAAAAATCGGCACATATCAGGACAGATAAATTAGGCTTCTTGACCTCAACAATAGGAGCGGCCCAGGCGGAATATGGGACAGGTTGCAACACACAAATTTCCTCCAAACGCCTGAGTTCCTGATCGACAATCGTCAGGGCAGCGTGAGGTACCGGTCTTTTCGAGCAGAAAACAGGTTGGCTATCGGCTCGTAGTTGAAGTGTGACCTTGGTTTGGGCGCAGAGACCAAGTCCCACATAGAAAACGTCGGAGAACTGGTGGGTGATTAGTTGTGTTAGGTTCGAGGGTAGGATGTTGGACTGCACTTGGTTGCAGATGGAAGAAATCGGCAGATGCATGAGACCAGGAGGTTCAAGGCAGTCTAGTCCAAGATCGAGATCGGAAACGGAGACGTAACAGACTGCCTCGGTGGTGTTTCCGCAGAAGAACGCTGAGCCGTGTAGCCGTTCAGTCAAATGCGTTGAGCCAGCACAAGCGCTGGCTGCTGTCCGACTGGATGATTCGACCGTAGGACTATCAAGATAGTGCCCGAGCCTCCTCGTGATGAGGGTGATGTCAGAGGCTGTGTCAAGTTGCAGACGAATTGGATGTCCAGTGATATGAAACAAGACATACTTCCAGTTGTGGGCGAAGATGATCTTCCGATCGTTTTTGGAATTTGCCGTCTACAAGACTTAAGAACTTGGGTTTGCCTGTTCTTGCGACCAACAGGAACCTTTTTAGGTCCGACTGCGTGAAACCGTTGGCAACGGTGTTGTCTAGACGGACAGAACTTATGCTATAGTGCCACGACCCACAGTAGCGACAGGCGTATGGGAGTTTCTTCGGACTGGCGTGGCTGGCGGAGATGGTGATTTCTGTTTGGGCTAGGTAGCAGATACCATGGGCGTAGAACGAGGTCTGTCAGTGTGCTGAATCATTTCAGGATCGTGCTACAGATTGAGTATCCGCTCGCATTCGTGAACCAGTTGTGCCAGTGTGATGACGGGTTCCGAATCGATCTTAGCCAGTAATCTGGTTCGCAGATCTGCATCGCGTTGGGATTGGAGACCAGACGAAAATCAGGCATCAGAACTAATCTTCAGTAAGAGATCCGAGCTTAAAAGAGCCAAAACTCACGATTGACGTAGCAAGCGTAAGTGACAAAATCGTCGACGTCCCGCTTGACTATTTGAAGGCACTGGAAGCGAGTGTTGAACAAGGATGAGGTGTCCCTGAAAACCGACATCAACGTCTGCACTGTATCGTTGAAACTGCGCGATTGCGGTTCGGCAGGGAGGATGAAGCTTGTGTTCCCGACATGTTCTGCTGGGCCCAATTTCCGGAGCAGTATACGGACCTTGGTCTCGTCATCCCGGTTGGCCAGTTTAATTGAGAATACATCCTCGTACCGCTTGTACCATGACGCGGTCACGCCAGCGTGCGGATCATACTGGAGATCAGTAACGTTCTTGGTGAACTGATCCACTGATGGTAATTCTGCGGAAGAAGGCGGTCATGGTGGAGAATTCTGAGACCAGCACCTCCATTAGCTTGATCTGGGCTTGTATCATCTGTTTCAAGTCTGCATCGGCAGCCATCGTTGAGGAGAGTAAAACAACATATCCGTCGCCAGATATGATTTGTATTGGAATAGCTTCAGACAATCACTCAAATCACACGCTTCGCAACGGCTTCTGAAGCCTAAGGCAAGAAGCCAGGCTTTAAGTAGGAAGTATGGCTCCGGGACAAGCCGACGATTAACAGCCGCCCAACTGGCAGAAGTATTGACTGGAAGATCCAAGGTGTAACGGTTGAAGAGAAGGAGAAAAGGACTGATGATGTAAGTGTTTAAAAGGGAACAAGCAGCGGAAATGACAGTACAGAACAAGTTTCTCAGAGTAAAGAGCAACCGCATCAGCGAAAAGGAAATGTGCATTGCTTCCACTTTTGATAAAAGTCTGGAAAATGAGGCACGCAAGGAAAGTTAACCTCTACAACATAGGTGCCCACAGAAAAAGTGTATACAACCGAATAGGTAACGGCTGCATAAAAGGTATCTGTAACACCAACAGAATAATATCGCCATTAAATGGTAAGCCTATCACCGGATCATTTGATGTACTGCCCCCGCTAAATAAAACGGTGAAAGTAAACGGACTGGTGATTATGTTCACAAAATTGTGAAAAAGAATACTCTGCCCGGGGGTGAACTGCTTACGAGATTTCATCAGTGCCCTTACCCAAATGAGGTCACTAAAGTACAACAGTTCCAAAACATAAGGTGGTATCAGGAGTGCTCATTTAATTAGCAAACAGCGCCAAAGGCAGTAATCGCTAGATTAGCCAGAGAGAGAGAACAGCAGGGAACTCTGAATGACCCTAGTATGTAAAGCGGCGAAGACTTATGACGCTGTTCACGTCGCATCTGAAAGTGGTGTGTAGTTCGTTCAATATTCGGTGAAGCATCGATGCAGGACATCAGCAAGTTGGGCAGAGGGAATAAAGCAAGGCTAGCGCCCTTAGTTCTCATACAACTCCCCCAAAATAGGGAGTGTCAATGATAAAAACTAACCTGAAAGTGCCCCTTCATCGATGTACACTGCATCAGGAAGTTTCTCAAAAAATAACTAAAAGTGATTCGTCACCGAATTTAAGCAGCGAAGGAGATAAATAAGACGTAAATTGTGCTACCCTAAGAGCCAGTTTATGTGGTGGGAAGTCAAACTGAAGATGATGCAGTAAAGGATGAAGAGATAAGGTGGGTTGGTTAAATCAGGTCTTAAAGTCGTAAGTAAAAAGCTAGACTGTCGCTCGAGAGAAAACCCAACCATACTGATGAAACCTTGCAGGATAGTGATCACCGGTGATTAGAAGAAATAAACATGCGAGGAAACTTGAAATAAAGGTGGAGGTATGATGCGAATTCAACCGACTGTGCCAATAGTCAAGTGGGTAAAGCTCGTCAAAAGGACAAGGATAGTTGAAAACACTGATGGGTCCGAGAAGCAGCTGATCAGGGATCATCGCGTAAACTTAACCACCGTTGTAGTGACCAAATCAACCCGATTCGCTCAGATGCGGAAATCAATAGGGAGCGCCGGTATGTTGGCTCCAAAAAGAAAGTGCGCACTACGCAATAAAAAAATGATATTTTCATCGCTTAATAATGTCACCAGAATAATGCATATCGCTTTTATCAGGCGAACATAGACAGGACAGGCAAATTATTGAGAAAACCATTTCGATAGACAAATTGGGATAACTCTCACCTAGAAGTATTGAATAGTTATGGATCGATTCGGCAAGAGCCGTCCTCTCCAGCAACCACGAGGCCTGAACATATAATAAAGAATTGTGGGGACTGAGCAAGGGGTGTTGGTTGATTATATACACTACAGAAAGGAAATGCTAAAAACTAAAGATCAATGAGGCGTAAACCGGCATTATCAACAACCGCATCCCAGTCATTTGTGCCGCTGCTTCGCTGTAGTAAATGAGGAACCAATTCGGATTAGAACCGGTGTTTCCAACACAGATTCTCGAACAAGATTTGGAGATCAGTTAGGAGGTGCGAAAAACGTCCTAATAGCGTTACATGCAGAAAAATTTAGCAGCAAGTGCGAAATGGATACGAAAAATTCCGAGGAAAAGAAAAACACTAAGACTGCAGTACTACGGAACGAACAGAGACAGATTAATGAGTTAGGGCGGTCGTAATGAAACTTGGACTTTACTTAGCGCGACGGCTTGCATACCTTTCAGACCCAATGAACCACACTGAATGGTGCTCCCTAGCACATTGAGAGCTACTCTCACCAGGTTGGTCAACAGTTAGAGGTCAGACGAACTCAGTCTCCTGACCCTTCAGTTTAGGGTTTGGAAATAGGGTGGCGACGATTTCTGTAAAACCGGAAGGCTGCAATTCCGTCGCTGCCTGAAGAACGGGATTTTGAGCCAAAAGCTTTATTTGAGGACGTTCTGCTATCAGTGTTTCGGCACCCTGGCAGTACACCTATGGCTAGTTCATCAAAATGCAACCATAACTTGCATCCGCTCAGAAATTCATCTGTGAAGAGACAAGAGAGCTGAAAGTGTGATGGGAGGAGTGAAGTGACAAAGATAAAAACGTAAAGAAAAATAAAACCACAAGCAAGTGGCAGTGATTGCGTACGTAAGTACGCATGTGCTTCGTAACGACGCTTCGCTACTACGTAATTACCAAGAGTCACGAGTGGACTATGGATACCGTAACGTCACCCGTACCTACCTAGAACGGTGATTCGTGGAATACAGCCAGAAGACTGAAGCATTGGTTTGGGTCGAATAATAAAAGACAAATCACAGAGCCAGTATAGACATCTTGAAACTACTTTTAGCGAAGTTTATATCATTCAAGGTGCTATTGCGCAACAGGAACCCGACGTTGTTGGTAATTGGCGAGGCGCTACTGATCAGGTTGAAGTGTCCCGTGCTCTGTGCCTAGAAACAATTGAGGCAATCAATTAGATTGCCTTGGACCTGATTACGTCATTCCCATCAATTTTATCTGCTTATCTATGTTACTAAGTGTGGACCCTATATATTGCGTGTTTTGTTCTGCCTGTATCGCGTAGCGAGTGACGAGAGCAATCGAAATGTTAACATATCGCAACCTATGTCTTCTTACTGTGTTAATGAAGTTTATATCGTCAGTTAAGGTAGCTATACTGCCTGATGAAACGAATCGTTTGAAAGTGCCGGTATTCAGAGATATTCGGATCAATTGGAATGTTCTGTCATCGCAAATAAGATAGGGGACTAATTACACTTATATGCTCTAAGTGAGAAACTCGTTTGATGCTCCGTTTGAAGTAGAATAGGGTCACAAAGTAAACCGTATCAAGACAAAAAGCGCATTGAGCGAACAGAAGCAGGTTAGCCGGATGTTAGAAAAAAACGAGTGAAATCCGCAAACCCGGTTTCACTTAGAGAAGTGACATGTAATACGAGGCGAACAGCTCGCATCAAAATGAGCACAGTCCATAGCAGTCCATCGTTCTTTTGCTGATTAGAAAAATGATTCGCTAGTTCCTCAATACGGACGACTAATCAATCCTCCCTGGAATACGCATTCAATTGCAATCCACCGTAAAACATTGAGCAACACCGGACTTGTATACAGAAGGCAACAACCACTTCCATACAATCAAGCTGCAGCCTAGCTAGATACCCCTTAAAGGCTTGGATCTCTGATCGCTCTGGAGTTGTTGGAAGGTCGCAGATATCCCGGCGGAATCAGTTAACAACGGTCGACGCCGCTCTGCCAATCAACAGCTCAAGCAAGGCTTACGCAAGAATCGCGATGCTTGATGGTCTGAGGGTGCTTTGGTGATGGAGACCGCTGCTCTCTAGTAACACTATCAAGCTTTGGCGGGTGAGCAGCAAAGAACAGTTGGCGACATCAATCGTGCTGTACCCTAAGATGATTAAAGTGACAACCTAAAAAACAGAACGCTGATTGTTGCAGCAATCGTGGGTCTGAGATCCATATGTGTTCAATTTGGCTACTCAATAATGACCCGAATACAGAGACAGGATGGGTCCAGGTATCTAGACACGTAAAAAGAAAAAGCACCGTAAAGTATTGACATAAATTACATACATGAAATTTAACTCGCAATCACTTTTCTGTGGTTATTTACCACAATGTTGCCATACTCATATTTTAGCCTACTCGATTCGCTTTCTTGCTGAATAAGGCCTATTCATTCGGGCTATACTCATTCTCACTCGGCGTGTTTGTTCTCCGCCAATTCATATAGCAAATACATAAAAGCGTAAAAAATAATTCGAAGATAGAGAAAAATTAGTCACCAGTTAAAATAGCAAGATTTGAAGCAAATGAACAAAATCAAGAACATCAAGACTTCGCAGATGGGCCTCCTCTGCGTTGGGGTTTCTATTCCCTGATTTAGTTGCCAAAACTAATCTGCGGTAGACTGTGAACTGGACTGGACTATACACAATTAGTCATGGACCTTACAGCGCATGTGACCGGTACAATCAGGTTCAAACAAGCCTCAGTAACCACGATACCGAGCTAAGGCTGCACTATGTTTTGTAAGCCAGATTATTGAACTGAGATCTAGAGGCGGGCACGATCGAAAATGGCACCTCTTTGAAACAGACATTAAATAAACAGTATATACCCACTGAAGCACATTGCCAGTTGAGTTAAGTTTCGCTGCTTTCTGTCATTTTCGAAACTCGTTTGGGTCTTAAATACTACCTATGATTCGTCAGATACACATGCAAGAAGGCCAGATCTTCAATGATGCCTCGTCTATTAGATCGCATGGGATTATCCAGCGCTGACAATCTACGTCAGCTCGGTCAACGAGTGGTGTCTATCAAAACAAACAACTCAACCATGGTTGAAGAGTAGCGTGTTCCCCAAACATGCTTATAAACTAGTACAGTCCAAATTATGCAGGTTCTTGTGGTTTAGTAAACAGGGTGATAGTAGGTCTGCTGAACTGCTCCGCATGGTGCTCTGCTTTACATGTTAGCAGACGTGATTGAAAGTAGATCAACTGTCCATGTCTCTCAAGCACCTCCCACGAAGAGAAGGTTTACCTGAACCAATGATTCGAACGAGCCGGGATCCGTGCCTGCACAGCACGCCGCTGAAGACAAGCTGTGAACACCGGAGAAAGATAATGGTTGGTAAGGAACAACCGGCTGGTGACCGAATGACCTATGCACATGGCTTTTAAACCAAAATTCAAGAGCTCGAGTCTGAGTATGTGCATGCGAATTTGCAATATATCTAGCCACTAGTTGATGTGGCAGACAATTGTCGCAACGAAGTATAGGTCTACTGACGATGTCTTCCTTTACCGCAGGAAAAAAATTAAAAAAAAAACAACGGAAAGCAACAGACCCAGAATAAATGGATTAGATCGCATTGTGTCCGTGAGATGACGAGACTGTGTAGATATTTTGATTTCGCTAGTTGCTAACTAAAAGAACGCTTGATGACGTGAAGGAAATAAAACGGCACACAACGGCAAGCGCGCGGTGAATTAAAATGCATACCTAGAAAGTATTTATGATTATGGAATTTATCAACATTCGTATCTTTCAATCGTCAGGTTATTTTACTGATTGCGTATCCCCATCCTTCATGCCTTCCTAGTGAGTTGTGTGATACGCCACATTCTGCTCCTGCCCATCTATTTCCCACTCTTTGTAGATCTTTCTAACACAGTTTGGGTCCAACCGCTCTTACTATTCTCTGTATTTTGTGTCTGGCACGCCTCCTGTCTTGTATCGCAGCAATCTGAAAAATTCCTCAGTTTAGCTGAGCACTTTGTGTAAAAATGACCGAAACTGCTATTTGATTGTACACTCAGCGTGTTGATGCGGAATGGTAGACTGCTGGTTGAATGCTTGTTCGAACCGAGCACCGGTACGTAGCATCGCACGGCTGCGACACGTGCGGCGCCACTGCATTTCTTACGGCTGGCAACGCGTCAAATCAATGTCTTTTTAGTTCGAATCCAGAAAGGTTGTTGTTATAAAATTACATTCATGTCTTTGTATCACTCCGTCTTATGGAATCACAATTTGAACTCCTGCTAAGTACCTGAATGGAGTCGTGTAGCCCACCGGGAAGCAAGAAGACTGGATCGCGATCACGAAGTCATTTATTAAGATTACACTCAAATATTTATAGAGTATATACATTATTTACAACAGTCCGTCTCAATAACTCATCCCTGTTATTTGCAGTGTCGCTGGTTCCCTTTCCAGTTGTTTATGCTTGCTCACCAAGTTCACTCTGTCTAAAATCACCTTGACTTTCTTAGTGGAATTACGATTGGCGGGATTGAGCCCGCGCGCTTCTTTTCTCGGTCCAATGCCACAAGCTTTGGCTCAAGGGTGCACCAGTATGCGCTTCTACGCCTGCTGGCGACTGATTGGTCACTTGCACCTTCAGTGGATAGTTCCATCGCAATGAAGTTCGACCTCACCGTGGTGCGGTGGTTTGTGTGCCTCAGCGATCCATTGAGCTTTGCTGGGTATTGCTTTTGCACCCTCAGAGCCACTCATACCAGATTGGTCAATGGTTAGAGGCCAGACAAACTTAGACTCCTGGTCCTCTAGGTTGGGGGTTGGAATGAGGGTGACACCTTATTCATTAAAACGGACTTCTTGTAGCCCAACGCCAAACCCGCTGCCATGCGGTAAGGTTCTTTAACCAAAGGCCTTAGTTGAGAACCCAAATCGTTCTCCTGTCTAGGCCTGAGCAACCTGACAGCATCATGCCCACGCAATACAATGAATCTTCAA